CATAATATTTTGTTAAATTTTGCAATGTTCATGCTACCAAATAGTTGGAAATACACCACACTTTATTTTTTGTACTATACGTAACAATAATGATCTGCAGCTTCTGGTAACACTGATAACGTATGAATTTTCAACGAGGTCCATGATTTAGGCTAGCCACAATTTTTTAAACCCCCAAAGGGAATTTGTGGACACACTGTAGATAAGATTCTGGTAATATGAAGTCGTAGAACATTAAATATGATTATTTACCTTGAATTCTCCAGGTCTGGCATTCATCGTCCTCGTTTTGATAACATCAATTGGTTGAGTCAGTGTTGTTGCTACCCAACCCTGTAGCACAAATATGAAGTGAATCAGTGATAAATTATCTGAAACAGAATTAATAATGTGAAAGTATGTTGATTAAAAGAGAAACTTCTCAAAAGTTCACTATTAGGTGCTGAGCATCAGACTGAAGTAGATTATGTCAAGAAAGAACTGAAAGCACTCGCCATCAACATAACTCATTCTGACAGAATAATACCACATTGTAAGAAGTAAGTCGGACAGCCAAAATCAGAGCAATATCAAAATTTTACAATATGGAAAGTTGTTCTAAATGCAGAACATGCCTGAAGTGATTTCATTCTGACTTGTGAGTGCCTTAAGACATGTGATTATGTGTTCTGATAACTTTCTGACATATGCATGATCATTATTTTGAATTCTGTATATGAAATAAGCTTCCATGTGTACAGTTTCTCTTCCTTATAACCCCAAATATATAAACTGAATGGATAAATGTCTGGGCTATACAAAAGTCACACTTGTCATCAATTTCAGCAACCCAGAAACAGCTGAAATACGCACAACAAATATGTGAGAGGATTACAAGATCCTGCAGTAATTTCTCTAAATTTTGGTTCAGCTAGACTTCAGAACTTTCATTGTATTGTTTGAGAAAGGCGGTAAAAATAAAGACAGTCTACATTTCCATTTACGGCATGTAACCGTGTCTAAACTCACGGCGGCAAGGCTGGCGAGGAAATGCGTTGTCAGGTTGTCTGCATAATTCCTATTCAGTAACACTGTTTTGAACTGGTCATAAAAGGACAGCTGTCCAATAGTCATCAGCACTGATCTTCCAGTAGCGGTGGATGCACCAGAAAATAAATGCCGGAATCCTTCTTCCTTATACACCCGGAATATCCCGTCAAATGCATGACGATAACTGAAACACAGTAAAAGATTCTACTCTACAATACTTTAAAAATTCAAAGTCACTGTATACAAGTTGAATTATACATTATTTGAAGTGGTTCATGTTTATCATATAATTAGGTTTTGAAATGGTGAACATAATAAATTTCGATGTATACATTCTGCATGAACAAGAAAGATGAAACGTGATTTGGTACTGCTATATGGACCACATTTTCAAGTACCATATGTTGCTCTCTGGTTTGCCATACAGGTCTGCACTTACTTCCTCCTCTTAGCAACTGGCAGCTTTATATCGTTCTGCATACGAACATTTATGAGATCGGCTGGAGTCCCAATGAATCCGCCGATTATTCCTCCAGCAGCTGCTATTCCAATTTTCTCATAAAAAGCTACTTCCTCACCTGGTTTGGCAATGTATTCTTTAGCAGTCTATAAACAAAACAATTAGGTGCATCACCAAATTAAATGTAACTCATTCGACAAATAGTACAATACATCCAAAACTAACCAGTATTATTTTGGAGCAATGGCAGACTGGATCAGTAGTCAACATGCAGTGAGTCATTGGTGAGGTTAATACAGGATACCAGATGAGCTACTGAAGGTTCTTACCACTTCCAATGAATTCCTTTAATTACTGTCGTATCCTCCGACGTCCAAACATATTTCTAAGAGACATGATACTTTTGTGACACAACAGACTGTGTTCGTGACTCCCACATGCCAACCTCTGTCTGATTCAGCAGATGCTCAGAAATAATTATCTATATATATATATTTTTTTTTACATCTTGATTTATAGGGGATGGCTGTCTTCTGGGTTGTTGCGCTGTGTAGTCTGGTAGAAGTTTACTGACATTTCAGAGGTCCTTGCTGCCTCCATTATCAATCACCCAGATGGTGAAGGCAACAAGGACCTCTGAAACGTGGGTAAACTTCTACCATACTACATGGCACAACAACCCAGAAGATGGCCATCTTCAGACTCATCGCCTTGAAAACCTAAAATTTACAGACTGAATTTTTTTAATTATAGAAATTAGGTCAAGTGTTATTCTATGTAATATTTCAGACAGAAACTTGATTTTCTTGTGTGTAGAATTTGTTTAAAAATGAAATGATCTTGCACTTCTTCAATGAAATGTGTAAAAGAAAAAAGAATAAAATTTAAAAAGAACTCAGTCTGCATTCCTATCACAGATATAATTATATTTTCAGTAAGTTTGTTAATGCACAGACTGCTGACCCCTATTCTGGAATGAATGTGTGCTGTGATCAGCCCACCAACTGTGCAGACACACTGGAAACAGTGCAGCAGACATAAATACCTCATAGACTGCAAACCTCGTAGTCGAATATGTGAGCTGGCGTAACACAGCTGCAGTAAGACCATGGTTGAGGCTTAAAAATCCATCGTGTTTTATGACATTCATTGTTAGGCGGACTATTGACAGGTGTACATCTTGCTGAGTTTGTTGATGTATCTGTCATGGCAAGAAAATGGCTACTGGTGACCAGACATGACAACAGTTTGTATCTCCTGAACAGTATATTATATCTTAAAAAATGGTGAAGAATAAAAATATTCATTCTGATACAGAGTCCAGTACCCAGAATTTGAAAGAAATTTTGTACCTCTATAACAATGCATTATAAAAATAATTGGCTAACCATAAAATATAGGGTCCTGAGTTTAAGGCGTGATGGATATCTCTAAAATATTGCATTATAAAGGAAATAATTCCTTATTTTGAAGCAAAATCAATACAGAAAGTAATGTGACAGCTATTACATAAATACTGATATGGATTTAAGGAAGTAACGGGCCCCTGGCCAAGATGGCAAATAAAAAACTACATATTTTGCAGGACTTGAGGTTCTCAAAACAGCAAGTATGAAAATAAATGTCTTCTGGGTTGTAACGCTGTGTAGTCTAGTAGAAGTTCACCAGCGTTTCAAAGGAACTTACTGTCTCCATCACTGCACAGTTTACCTTTATTGTGTCCAGGAACTGTGTGAAACAAGCAGCTGCAGCAGAGGCCACACCCCCCATCCACCACCTAGGCACTCGAACATCCACCATATTTCCTCTGTAAATTCAATTAATATGCAATGTAAACAACTTTCTCCAAAGATTTCAAAGATCTGACTCATTTTCTCATGAAAGAATCATTAACCATTTTCTTACAAAATCCCAAATCAGAATTTGTCGGATCACATTAAATGCAACTTGATCATCACTGAGTGGTCAGCACTCCTGCTTCATATTGGAAAGTTTTGGGTTCAAATCTGACCACACCAAGGCCATAATGACCCAAGTCCCTCCACACATAATTGGATAGTACCTTAAATTAGGCCACAACAACTTCCTTCCATATCATTCCCAATTTGTTAATCATGCTATCACTTGACATTTGTCAGTCTGATGAATTACAGGGTTACTAAATAAACAAACAAAACTGAAATGCAATTTATATAAATATATCAAAAAATAATATTTGTCCCTGTGGTGAAAAAACCGCAAGAGTGAAGTTTAATATAAGAGCCTAAAATATTATGTAATGACACCTTTAAAAACCATCAGGTCCCAGTTTTATAGAATGGGAAATAAGTTGTGACAACAGTTGATACTTTCAATAGCAATAATTGATTAACTATCATAACTGGGAATAAAAATTTCATACAATGATTGATAGCCATGTTAAGTAAGTCCCTTGTCACTAAGGTTGTGGATCGAAGAAACAGCCTCTGGATTTTGAAGATAGCTGTAAATATACTGAATAAGTATCCAACAGCAGACAAGAATGGTCCTCCAGCTTGGAGGTTTGGTGGGGAGCTAAAAATTCCTCACAATAAAATAAAACCAAGTTAAAAAATGATGTCCAGGCAAGCAATGGAACGTGGGCATATAATTTGCCATGGAGTTACACGGAAAATAAAGAAACGAATCGTTTAAAATTTTCATGTCTATGAAGATTTGGATTGGGGTATTCTGGGCCGAAATGACGTGCTATATTAGAGGTGGTGATCAACGTATTGCTTCCAGTCTACCATCACTTCTACCCTGAAGATGAACGTGATATTTTATCCTTAACAGACTCACATTTCAGAAGACCACTATCTACAGTTGACTAACTTGGTTAAACAAGTCATAACGATAATTATGTATTTTTATAAGATCTCTTGGGAATGAAAATTATGAACTTAACAATACAACATTATTTTGTGGTTATGTCGGGCAAGTAATTACGTTAATTTATTGTATATGTGTTGTTCTGTTCAATTGGTAATATTCACACCATTCTAACAGAAATATTAATTTAAAACGTTGCTTCATTATTGCAATAATTTAGCTGTTTCTTATGTCCAGTTACAATAGGGTTTTGTATAACATTTTTGAATAATTATATTTTGCATCCCGAATCATTTACTTACGACATTGCGCTGCATACATATGATCGGTTACGGTAGCTCCGTCAGTAACACAGATAACCACCATGCATGCACCATTCCCATAACCAAAACACATATTCCTCATCAATTTTGAAAAGTATAATTTTCATCTTTGGGGAACGTGACATTGTGTCACGGATAACAGTGTGCATTCCTGTTCTAAAATTTTGAAGAATTATAAAAATTTGCTTAAAATCTCATAAAAATAAAAATGTGTCAAAACTCAAAGCACACACCCTTCACATTGGCAAACGTCAGTTGTGGTTTTCAGGTCAGATCAGGTTAGGGGAGGTTTGGTTGTTAGTTTTATTTAAGTTGTGTTAGGTTCGACCAAAGTATTGAATACTTTACAAAATAAAAAAATAAAGAATTGGAAAAATATCAGTTGATAGCATACATTTTCAAAAAATTTCAAAATTTGCGGCACAACCTGTGAACATTATCATACACATAAACAACAATCTTATGGTTTTCTGAGGTTTAAATCGTAGACTTCTCGAACTACTGCCGAGATAAAATCATTCAGTATTTTGACATAGACATCCATTTACATAAAACATTAAAAGTAGATTCATGACAATGATCATGATTGTATGTATTTCTATTGGAACACTTTTCTTATGACTACCAATTTTCACCTTCCACAAGACTAGCATCACTAACCAGAATATCACAATCCAAACAAAAATGTCAGTTGTTTTTTGTGTACCAGTATTCAATGAATCTTGCAGCTAATTTAGCCCTTATACAAATACAGCAGCTTATAAATTCTAGAATTTGATTAATAATAAACTGAAGAGGCTCATGTATATTCCATCACTCAAGTATACATCCTGGTCAGTTAACTTGCAAGGCTTAGAATTATAAGGTTATGTATTAAAAAAAATTGTAATTAAATGGTGACACACAAAATTATCTTTCATCCAAATCTAATCTAATTTGTTTCTAAAAACAGAAGTTCTGTTTCTTCGTATTCTTTTTTAAAACATTCAACACTTCCTTACTAAAATAACTTACCATCATTAAGCATGTTGCATTAGGATTGATAAGTATCAAGGACAAGGGAGGTAACAATATGGATCCAGTCTCAGAACATGATCAGGAAACTACGAAAAAAGAAACACGTAACATATAATGTATAGTTCAATTTTATAAATGGTTCCTAGGGTAAAAAATACACCTAGATCATAACTTCTTAAAAAGCTTAAATTCTACTGTCTCGAGGCTATGAATTAAATTACGTCTACTGATGCACCCAAATGCAGCCTGCACAGCTGCACATGTTAATCACATTAGACAGTCACAAGGCTCTTGCCCTCACATAAAAAAAACATCACACATTCATTCAAGTCTGCAAACTGCTGGCACAGTTCAGCAACAGCTCTGACAAACGTACGGTTCCAGAGCTGTGGACGACGACAGTGGAAACGTTCTGGAAAACCACAGTGGAAACGTTCCACAGCAGTTACCTTTGTTGTTTTACTTTAGAAAAATTAACGCTAAAGCACTTTTCTGGGCCTACAGCTGAAAGAAAATTAAAAATCATCAGATGCTCAGCCAAGCACACAATTTGATTTTTGTGGAAATCAAAGATTCATCAACATGTTTTCAAAAGCTTCCAGTACCAGTTCAGTTCTCCCTACATCCTCATACAGTCTTTAACACTAATTTTGCACACATTTGTCTGATTGAAATTTTGTATGTATTTACTCAACATTTCTTTAAGTAAATTATATTGGTAAGTGAATGTAAATGTAGAACGAAATGTACGCACATTTTGACTTGTTGAACGTCATCAGCAGTTCTACACAGCAGCCATCTCAAGTTCTCAAGACAAATGTGACTATCTCGATGCCTTCCAGTGGGCAGGAGTGCGAGATTCGAAGTCCTACATCATGCTAATTTCGTTACAAAAAATTATTTTTCTAATTTTCTTTCTACATTCAATGAACAGTGCTTTAGAAATACAGAAATACTTGAGCTAAACTTTTTATGTGTCTTTGTTTCACTTTTATACACATTTTTAGAGTGATTATTTAACAGGATCATGAAAGTTTAAAGCACTGCGTATGTTTCACAAGTTTCACATGTTCCACCTCATAAGACACAGAGTTCATGAGACAGTACTTGTACTCATTTGCAAACACATACAGTAAGATGATATAAAATAATAAAAAGATTCGTTGATGATATAAAATAATAAAGAGATTCATTTTGCAGCACATTAAATTAGATTTGTAACAAAAAGTGTGTCGTGGCAAGAATACTGCTCAGTTGCACTCAGCTGTTGCTGAAAGAGAACACCTGTAAGATACACTATTCAATTACTGCGGTCTGAGTCAGGGACTTCGTAACATTTGAATAAGTATAAGCATTTTTATGAATTCCTCAGTAAATAAAGTGACTGCCATATCAACATCACACCCTTCAAGTATCAAAAGCTTGGTTTCTGCTGACCTGTTCTTGAGGACATTATCCTGCAATGAACAATATTCTGAATTTTAACGTCACTATGTGCAGGCAGTTATTTCATTAAATATTTGTACTAGATCATATAATGCTTTTATGTTGTCACATTTCTTTCTCTTGCCTCTGAGGTGAAGCCAAAATTGTACAGGATGGTCAAGTCTATTGCACACTAAACATTAACGAAAGGATGACTGAAATGCATGGAGGAAACTTGTTCTAATTACACTGTGTTCACCACTACTATGGTATAGCAAGTCTCTAGATATTCGAATTATCAGGAAACTTTCACAAACTAAAAATTTAGACAGAGTTTTAAGTATTGGTTCATGTGATTATTATGCAAAAGTTCTCGGACAGTACAATAAACCACCTAAGAACGATTGGAGAACTTTCATAGTAAAGACCCTTAAATTCATAAATTATCCTTGCAGGCGTTTCCTTTCAGAATGAAGAATATCACCACCCAATCCACAAAGCTGCCTATGCCACAGTGCTTAGTTTCTGCATACAAGTGCATTACAGTAACAGTTGTGGTACATGGGATTTAGAAACATTCATTCATAAAAAAACAAAACAAAAAAACATTTAAATTCGTATGATGTGTAATGAGATCTATACTTCATGTCACATATTACTTCCTTATGGAAAATTATAAAGTTTAACTTGAGCATAATGTACAGTATGTGTTACATTGGCCTGACACCAAAATTAAATTCGCTTCATTAAGTTTTAGTGTAGATCCCCAAAACTAAACAATGTTGAAATTCATTTGGTAATCTTAAAAACGAACTAAATGGACGGACAGATAGACACGACATCCCCATTTTACATCTTACGGACATTTTGTAGAAAACACATAAAACTGAGTTTCCTGGACCTCTTTAAAGAATGTAAGGTGAAAATCCTGATCCATTAGACAGTAGTCTCTTAAGAAATCGAAATCTTTAAAATAATGCTCGATACTGATCACTGCACTTGTAGACTGAAATACAGCTTTCCTGAGACTTTTCGACAAGTTCTTGCTTTCCCTTCCCGTACTATAGCTGCCTGCCACACATACGTGCGCGCGCGCACACACAATTTTCATACCACTGATATAATAAAGGGGCTAAAAATAAAAGTAGCAGTGATAACGACAATCCATTCAACACACAATGTCTCACTTCCACGACTATAAGAAGTGGAAAGAATCATAAGAGGCAATTTGTAAACATCAGTCTGTCATGGCACAACACTTACAATATGGCAGTTCCATCATGTTAGTTTTGGCAGTAGCATTCAGAACACAGCACTGTAGGCCTACTGTCCTAACCCTGTGATGGGAAATGCAATGGTATCACTGCAGACAGAGAATACGATGTATAAAAAATTCGCTTCAACATAAAAACTGAAAGAACATGGTTTGTACACTACACATATTAATTAGGACTTGCACACAAGCTAAATGGTCTCTCAATAAAGAAACAATATTATTAGAGTACTTTTCATGAAAATCTCTTTAATTACTGCAAGCCATGTTGTATTGCTAAAGAAATGTTGGTCTGCACCTAAACACACTGCACAGTATCATGTCTCAGAAGACTAATATCAGCAACCTTACCAATGTGAGGGTCTCGAAATTCAGATTTTTCATATACTGCTTAATCAATGTAATATGGAATGACCAGGTAGGTCGACAGACATTAGTAATAAACTTAAAAAAATTCGAAGATAAACTTTGTACTCTGAAACAGAAATGCTTTCAATTCATTTTCATTTCTTGGAAAATTTTCTGGAAATAAAACGAGACAAATTATTATGCAGATCTTCTGAATCTGATTTCATCCGTCATGTAATGAAGCTTAGGAATCTACCATCTAATTATGCTTTGATTCCATCACCAGTTAATTATGTCCAGATGGCGCATCAGTCCAATTCCCACTGTTCTGACCCTCCCAGGTTTATTACCATGTTCATCTTGCCACTGAACTATATCCTGAATCAGATAAATCCTGACCATATCCATACCTGCACAAACAACACAACTGAAAAAAACACTTTTAAATAAACCACATGACCAATCGACCTTAAAACAAATCATTTCTTCTCTCTCACATATTGGTATAGAACTAGGCCTCATAAAAACATTGCATTTTTCATCACAAGGTTCAGACAAGTGTTTCACGACATTTAGGCTGGCTGCAGTTCCTATTCCCTTCGTGAGAAGCAGCTCTGAACAACGCGATACTAGGAACTTGCTCAGCACTCAAACTCAGATGCTGTGATGGCATTCAGGTCCTTCATCAGACCCTCAAGATTAGCCATCTCCTGGTTTAGTTCCTCTGTGCTGTATGAAGGCTGAAACACAATCATATTCAGGCTTGACTTGTCCTCAGTTACTCTGACAATAAACAAGCTGGAATTTTAGATGCAAGTGTGAAAGACATGCGAGAAGTAGCCCATGTTCACAGCATGTATTACAAGTTGTGATTTTTCAGTGTCTGAGTAATTAATTGTCTGTTCTGAACATTTCAACATGCCAGAACATTGCACTTGTATTAATTAACTCAGTGAAGGGAAGCCATTCTTGACAAGCTGATAGTCATTGAGCTGCAACCGGAATGTGCCCTGTATCAGGTAAGAACTATCAAATATCATATATTTGTGTCAATATTATTATGCTGTCATTTGTTAAAAACTATTAAAACTGCTTTCGCCATATGAATATACTAGATTTCAACTTGGCACAAAATGCAATTGCATCAAGGTTTCAATTTCAGGTGAAATGTTGCCTAAATCTAACCTGCATCCTGCTGGCATCTTCTGATGAGGCTGGAGCCGTCACTGTGGGGGCAGTGGAAGGTCCTGGAGCCACACTGCGCCCTTTTGCAGAAACAGCGGCTCCTGAAGCCAGGATATCTGCCTTCTTGTATGGACTTGATCCCTGGGGCCTGACAGTCACTGAAGGAGCTAGGGAATAAAAGCAGATAATTCCAAACACACTGTTTTGGAAGTACCAGTACATGGTAAAAGTGAGATGGAGACTTAAAATTTGAATACTCACCCACGTGTTTCTGCTGAGGGGTGGAGGGCGCTGACTGTGGAGGGGGTGCAGGAACACTGAAGCTTTTCAGTGGATGGCCCTGCAGTCGCTTACCCATGGTCCCAGACCCTGCGCCATCCTGGGCAGACATTCCAGTACTACAAACACATCAGAACTCACAATACACTACCTTTCAAAACCTAACACACATCTTCAAAATAGGCCACCTTACTAAATGTACCTATAGGGTCCCTGTTGTGTGCCAGTGACACCAGGATGGTGGTGAGGGGGGCCTGGAGCCCCCGCTCCAGCCAATGGCAGACTTCCCACAGTGCCATAACCTCCCTGCAAGGAGTAAGGGTTCTCTGGTGATTGAGCTGAAAAATAGACAGATACTGTTGGTGATAGTCCCAACTATAAAATCAATGTCTTTATATCCTCCTCCCACACCAATGATTTTAAACTTTTTCTTTTTCATCTACTCATATGTTAATATTTATATATATCAGTGACTGTCTTACTGGCTGCTAACAGCAACCAGACATATAAAACAGCCTGTCATCCACAAGCAATGACCAGAATGGCTCAGTTCTGCTTGTACCTGCTTGGTCCAGTGTGACATGGGCCCGCGAGATAGTGTACTGGGTTCGTGGGTACAGTGGTCGACTGCTCCCTGTTTGAACCATGTCCACACTTGTCCCCTGCTGGCTTCCAGGCATATTACTGCTGCCTGCTATTGGAGTTGCTGTTGCAATTGCTGTAAACACGAGTTCATTACATTAGACGATTATACCTGCAATCAATTAATAATTAGAGATCGTGTTTGCATGACTAATACAGTAGAAGATACTGAGATATACCAAGTACACTGGAGAGAACAGAAAGAATGGAGAACATACTGCATAGGAAAGCATTGTTATACAAACCTCAGAAAAGAAGAAATGTTGGGAGAGCCTAGAAGAAAAGATGGTCTGATCAGTTTTGAGACTTGGAACAGACCCTGGAGGCCAACCTCTGATTGTTAAGAAGCATTCATAAATTATATCTTGTTAGTACATATACAGCTTTCTATCCGACTGCTGTCATGGTATCACATTCTTGATTAATTTGAACAAAGTGCTGTAAAGTATCTATACACCAAAAACAGAAAACTTACAGAACAAATACAAATATTTTATTTTCTTTAATAATCTTTGTGCGGACTATTCTTTTCCCTATTTAAATAGCATGGGAAGGTTTACGATACCTCAGCACTACTCCCGTAGCTATAAATTCAATGAGATGTGGGTATGGGACCAGAGAACATGGACAGCAAAGACAGTATATATATCACTAATGCTAAGTACATCAAATACACACAGTTTAACATATTTGAAACATTTACATGTGCATTCATAAAGTATAATTATTTACAGCTTATAATGCTCATGACACCATCAGACCTAACAGGTTCTGTCCAGTAAAACAGATACGGCAAAGTCCCGACTATCTGAACTTCCATTATCAGACATTCCATTTTATCTGATGTATTCATTATTAATTTCCCCCCAAAATATACTTTAATTTACAAATTTTTAAATTTGTTAAATATTAATTTAGTTTGGAGATTTTTTCATTTGATGCCCTACTGTAGTTTCTTCATAATTTAATAATATAGTAAATCAAATTAAAGACTGAGTTGACATTTACCCTTGTCATTTTCATTACTCGTCAGTATTATCCGACATTTTTGATTATTCAACCATCCTTCGGTCCTGCTGAGGTCAGATAATTGGGAGTCTACTGTACTGTAATATTTGTGCGCAACAGTACACATGCCAGCTATGCAGACCGAGCAGAGCTACTCACGTTCTCGGAGAGGTACACTGTCAACGGGCAGCATGATGGGCTTGGGTTTGATGATGCGCCGTGCGGTTGACATCTTTTCATCTCCGCCTGGTACAATGCGATTGTGCAGGGTGATGCAGCAGCCAAGCGAGTGCAATGATACATTCAGAGTAGTGTACATTTTAACAATAAAACAGGGAACACTTATGCCCCTGCAGCTCTACACATACACTAAACATGGAAATCATTCAAACAGATAATATTTTCTGGGCTTAAACACAAATGGAAATTAAAAGAAAATCATGCACTGATCATAAAAGTTTTCTGATGGACCTAGAAACATCAAAACACACAACGGCAGTGATTGTAAAACTGAAATTTCACCGTCTAATTTTTAAATGATGATCAAGCTCACTGTATGTTAGCTGCTGGTGTGCCAAATACTAACACAACTACGTAACCAATGCAGATAAAGTGCACTGAGGTGCCAAAGCTTCATATATATGGCGCTAACCCATATTTTCAGAGGAATCAAATTTAAAGCTACTCCTCAACCTTATGAATGTGAAGTTGGACATATTTTGGACAGATATTCATAAAATAAGTAAATCTGTATAGAACATAAACAGATAGAAATGAAACACAAATTGCATTATTTATTTATTCTTAGCTTATTTAATGAACTGTCTGAAGTACATGTTACATAGCATGCAATACCATCGACATATGACCATCCATTGTCAATAACGACCCATACAGAAGCATTCATGGCATACTGTGCAGTAATATTTTGGCATTAACCAGGCAAAACTGAAAAAAACATGACAGACCTCAGACAGGATAGTGGGAAGTCTAACAAGATTTAGACTACACATCCTAAAAACAGTGAGTTACCCCTTACCAACCTCCTTCGTAAGATGGGTTAACACTGTACTTAGGGAAATTTCATGGGAATTAAATTAAAAATGTATATAACTGAAGAAAACATAAAATTACAGAAACATAAATCATATTCACTGCAGTACAGGTTTGTGTACTAGGTTCTGTTTGTTTGGTTCAAATTCAAGTTCATTCTGAAATCATGCATGGTCAAGAAACAACTGCATCCTGCACGGCAACCAGAGCACATGAAATTATCCTTTTCATTACCTATGTAAGAAGAGACATAGGTTCGCTTGTCAAGAGAGTTGCTGTGATGATGCGGGTCACCAGATTCAAAGTCTTGGCCACCTGACGTACGAGGCAGCGTGCTCACGGCAATTGGCACTCCAGAAGGACCATCCCCTCCCCCTACTCCTGCTCCTGACTGTGTCTTTTCAAGGGCTTTCAATTCCATTTGGTCATGATGGATCCACAAGTCCGGTGGCTTGATATTAGGTTTGCCTGGCTTCCCCTTGGCATTGCCTTTTATGTAACTGTAATCACAAATGGACGAAGACTATGAGGTGAAAGATTTTAACATAATGCTGTGATAAATGTACCCTTTTCAGGACTTGAAGAGAGGTGTAATCTATGTAAAGAGGGCAGCACACTAGAAAGATTCAGACTGGATAAATAATAGCCATCCTACAGCTTGGTATTTCAAAGATAAACAATATTCTAAAAGACAGACATATTTTATTTTCTACTAGTTTCAGCAAAACATTCTTATCATGTGGGATGACATATTACAATCAAGCTGGGCAGACTAGGCAATCGTCATGTCCCTACACAATTATAGTGCTGAAAGTTTAAATAATGTCAACTTTATAGGTAACTCACCCCTTTTTGCTCCGTTGCGCTGATTTACGCCGGCAGCACACAACAACCCCAACCACTATAGCTGTAACCAGTACCAGCCCACTGCCCACTCCGATGTACATCAGAACTTTTGTGTTCAGCCCACGACCATCTGAAACATACAACACTGAAATTACAGCAGTTCGTACAACGTGCAAATCAGAAAGAACACACACCCAGTTTCATTTCTCTTCTTAGCTTAACAGATCATAAGTAACACCAAATAATAATACAAAATGTTTCTGAATTACGCCAACACTCACAGGAACTAAAAACCCTCGAGAGGATGCAGTAGATAGAAATGTATTGTATATGACAGGTTTTCTTAATGTGAATATAACCAGATGAAAATGAAAATCGAAAACGTCATTCTGGGAAATCTGAGCAAAATACCAGGCAGACATTAAGGAACAGAGGTATAATTTATAAAACTCGAATTTCTGTTGTCCCTACATTCTCATTTCCATACAACTGTTGTGTGTCCTTTTCTTTCAATTAATATCCCAACAACCAAAAGCATTTAATTAAATTTAGTTAATTCCCGAGTCAGCACAAAGCTTATAGAGGCTAAACTACATACATTCTGAGAACAGAAAGTTTAGTTCCATGGAAGTAAAATATTTTAATTTCAGAAATGGACAGTTACAAGGCAAAGCTTCTTGAAATACTGGCTTATAATTTTATGTAGAAATAACACTGACTGATACCTACATATTAACAAACTAATGAAGAATGGTATAACAAAAGCAATGTTTCACAGAATTAAATGTCTGAAGTGTACAATACAGACAATGAGGAGGAATATAGTAACCTACAGCACACAAGAGCAGCAGAAAATGAAGACTGCAAAACAGAGAAAGATAGTGCTGAAAGCAATATACAGAAAGCCCACAGAGAAGCATAGGACATGTTTGTTAACAGGACAGTAGGAGTCACAAAAACTGACCAACAATATAGAACAGCTAACTCAGGTTGCATAAAACACAAGGAAAAATGAACGTTACAATTATTTTAAACATTTTTTTTCCATCCTCAAATTAAGAAAACCTGGCCACTTTATTAGGATGTATGTAACGAACTACAAATATATGATACTTCATTGTATAAACTTAGGCCGTTGCCGTAAAAATATGTTCCATCTGTGCCACACATGGCCTCCACAAATATTCCTTATATAACACCTTCACTGTCTTTTGAGAATAAAATATGGACACACTACACAAACCATCTTTCACCTGCAAAAGACTTAATCAATGCAATACTCCCACATAACATATGAGATGTATTCTGTCACGTGTGCCAAGTAAAACTACTGATTCCTTCAATTCTATTCAACCCATCCAGGTTAAAGTGAACTGTGTGACATTTTAGCCAATAAATAAACATGCTACAGTACATCCTGGATTTCAAGTTCCAAAGCCAGCATGTGATCATAAATAACTAGAAATTAAAATGTAAGCTGCACAGAAACAAGCATTTCTAATCTCTATAAATTAAAAAGCAGAAACAAATATTGCACAAAGTTGTCTTTATGATAGTATTCAAATGCAGAAGCAAAGAAGACTGATGAAACTGGCTAAACTCTAAAGTTGCAAGATAATGCTTACCTCGCATAGGCTGCCCTCTATCGAAAAAATCAAACCCGTTGCCTATGGCGATGTTGGAAACAAACAAACAAACAAACAGATAGACAATTACGACACAAAGATCAGGCATCTCAAACAAAGATATACAACTCTATTCAATGCTGACTGTAACACAGCAGTGGGTAAAGAAACTTGCAGGTAACTGCTGTAAAAATTAAGAGAAATTAATAAAAAGTATACAGGCTACATGATGAACTGGCACGGGTCCACAGTCGAGAGGGGCTGGTAAAAATGCAAGACAATAAATTTCCACGAGCAATGAACTAGTCACCGTGGACTACGCCATGGCACACAATAAAGTTTACTCATCAAAATGCATTATCTTAAAAACTTGAAAAAATATTCAAAAATATTTTAAATGCACCAAGGATGGTTTTGATTTTACAGACACACTGAAACAGAAGGAAAGTTCTTGGTGAGATATACTAGCCGCAACCATACTGACACATTGATCTCCTAGACAGCCAACCATTAGAAACATTTACAATAATTTAGTTGTACTGCCATCTATGACTTGCTCGTATCTTCTTTTCATTCAAGATTGGTCATAATACAAAGAATTCATACTGAACTCATAAACACATTTTCATAATTTAAAAAGCGAGTAGATTACACCTATTAAAATTAATGTTATCAAGTATACTTTAACATTATATTAAACCCAAACAAACTCAAACAGAGGCATACAATGATTTTATGAGACAGACATGTAATTTTTTGTGAAAAACAAAAACTGATGTACCATAATTGGGAAAGAAAACTTCCACAGACTCACCTAAAGATCATAGAAATTCAGGATATGACATGTGGAGACAATCCCGTTGTTATAATACGTTTCTATTTTGCATCGTTTCCTCACCAAGGGCCTTCCTGTACTGACACACAGCTAAATGCATGCATGTGTACTGAAAGATGTTCATACAGGACATGCAACTTTACATAACCTATCTTCATTTAATCTCAGTTCCCCCAAATATGTAGCACTGTCAATCAGTTGGTATACGGGATGGATAATACCACGCACTTACATTTACATGGTTCGGACCACAGATAAACAAAAGGAAGAGCACAGATATACTAACTGGTATTTCATCACCATTTTTACTTCCTCCCTATCAACACTAACAAATTCAATTCAAAAGTTCTTAGTAAAAGTTCTGGAGTGATATATGATGTCAATGTTTTTTGGAACACACTGTGGTAAGCGTTAGTTACTGGTCACCACATATTTGGAGTGACTAAAGAAACACACGACACTCATGCTCATTTTACACCATACAATATAGTTACTCACTTGGTCCAGTGGTGAAGGAAACGATGTTGGAGAACGGGCCGTAGCCCTTGTTGTTGCGGGCTTGAATCTTGAAGTGGTACATGGTGTCTGCAGTCAGTCCTTTGATGGCTGTAGTCATCTTGTCTCCCAGAATACCTTCTACTACCCACTCACGGTCTCGCTGAGTATGATCTGTTGTATACAGGATCACATAGCCTGCCAACACAACTCATATCAAAATGCAATGAACTTTGAAAATGAAAAAAATGTTAAGACACAAACTACAGAGTGAAATTATTTTTGGCACTTCGGACAAAGGCTATCACAGCAAGAAACACTCAACCAAAGAGGATTAAAAAACAAATACCTTCACCTAATATCATTAACGTAATTAAATATAGAAGAATGAGATTGGTGGGGCATGTACGAGTAGAATAAATGAGACTGAAATGAGAAATGCATGCAAAATATTCGTCTGAAAATCTAAAAAAAGGGGGGACTGTTCAAGAGATCTGTGAGCACATAAAAGATTAATAATAAAACTGATTTTTGAGAAATAGATGCTGGATACAACTGGCTCAGAATAGATTTATCTTAAAACCTTTGCAATCTATAAAATCAAGACTTCTTTTTCCTTTGAACTGCTAAATAACTATCAACTGATCAAGGATGAACGTACATCATGGAATTATGGCAAGACCAGAAACCGGGTCCCCTTTCCTAATATGGAAGTATATAAGGATGAACCTACATCATGGAATTCTGGCAAGACCAGGAACTGGGTCCCCTTTCCTAATGTGGAAGTATAACATGGACTCCACAGCTGCTATTCTTCGTTGCCATAAAGGTAAGTGGTTAGGTCAGTGTCCTGCAAAGGGTTGCCAAAACAGTAATCACCTGTGATAGGTCCATTGGGCTGTTTAGGTGGCTGCCAATTAAGGTTGACAGCACTGGGGTTATCCTCCACAGGGACAACAGTAAGGTCTCGGGGCTGGCTGGATGGTGCTGCCTCCTGGGTCATGTTCAATACAACCATGCTCCAAGGGCTCTCTCGGCGACCCTGCACACGAAACACGCATTACAGTAACGCTTCGCAGTTTTTACAACTTCCTCGTTGCATGTTAATGAGCCTCACCTTGACAACCTTAACGGTGAATTCGTACTGGGTACTTGGCTTCAGGTCATTGATCATGCAGTTGAGATCAGTGGCATTGAAATACTTGTAGCGTGGATTGTTAGAGTAGTGAGATGGTGTGTAGCGTACCACATAGTATCGGTTATCTGTCACAAACTGCAACATAAGATAAACAGATGAGATTTGAGGTTCGCACACCAGTGAAGATGTCAGTGTTGGCCTTCTGGGATATGATGTCATTTGGCAGATACCATTCCTTAGGAGGAACACACTACCTCCACCTTTAGGGATGAAGGCCACTCCAACATGGAAAGATTTTCCATTCTTATTTTGGGAAATCTTACTATATCTCTGTATTCTAAAATTCTCTGGGCCATCCAATTTGGCTCCAAACACCACAGATGTAAATGCAATGGTTTTCTTTGTTGAAAGTTTTTAGTGTTTACCATAAACATGTTGCAGAATGCAACAAAGACTAAATGGAAAAAAAATCACACACAAGATGTATCCTGTCATACTTGTGTGTCTGCAGGTTATATGTAGTCTGTACTGACTTGGACACGTGATTACATCACCTGACTCTTGGAGAGGGTGGTGTCTGTCCAGTACACAACCACTGTCGCGGAAGAAAGGACAATGGCCATCAGTCCCACAGGAGGTATGAGTGGTGAGACAGGTTCTGGAGCAACCATCTCCTTTGTACGCATAGATACATACACAGGGCGTCCATCTCCCATGTCATTATATGCTCTCAAGCTGATGACATACTCCGAGTTGGGCTCTAAATATCAATACAAAAATAAGTGAATGAATTCAAAAATGAAGAATGTAATGGCTTCCACTGAGACAGGAACATTTAATGACTTAAGTGGAAGGACATCATCTGATATTTATTGAAGTATTTCACTTTCTGTATTGCTTCTGCCTGTGGAGGCGACAAAGTTCCTCTGAAACATTTGTGCCAGTTCCAAGACTAAATACGATTACAATCCAAACAGGTTTTGTTCTTCTAAAGAACAGAGGCGTAACTACTCTGGCAAAATTGTCCTGGCACTCATATAAATTGCCAAATCTGATTAAGACACTATGATGCCAAAGTATAAAGCACTTTAATTTTACCATAGTCTGAACATTATATTCTATCTGTAAACTGTGTTGTTTCACAGCTAATTTTACCATAGTCTGAACATTATAATCTATCTGTAAACTGTGTTGTTTCACAGAATGTTCAATCGAAGGTCATGCACTCACCAACGCCCTCAATAACGTAAAACCTCTGTTTCCCATCCAGAAGTTGCGTGTATACATCAGGGATGCCTTTCCCCCAGCCAATGGTATAGCCCCGTACCATGATGTTCTGGTTATGTGGTGGGTTCCACGAAACAGTGATAGTGTCTGTCATTGGTCGAGCTGAAACATAAATGTAGTTGCAAAAATGTAAGACAAAGCTTACTAAATTGATGCAGCAGAGACCAGGAACAGAAGATGACATTTACTCAAAGGCTTAGGAAAGTCTTATCCTTTTATAGACCTTGCACATTCATAAATGTGTTCACAAGACCATACCGGTGCATGCTGAGTCAACTGAACACAGTCTACATACTCATGCCATATTTCCTAAAATACAATTCATTCAATCCTCCTATCTGTGCGTGGGTTAGACTTTCCTATCAATGTTTTATATGAATTCTTAATCTTGCCCTTGTACACTACATGCCCTGCTCATCTCATCCTGTTCGTTTCAATCATACTAATATTTTTCTTCTTCTTCTTATTTTTCCTGTTTAACAATGTTTGTACAGTTTCCGGTACCCTTTACGGGTCCCCAACTTTTCATTTGGCTTGATCTATGGACATTGGTAGGACTCCTTGGACGAGGGATCGGCCCGTCACAAGGCCTCTACCTGTACACAGGACAACACAACACAGAAAAACATCCATGGCTTGAGTGGGATTCGAACCCACGGTCCCTGCGACCAAGCGGCACAAGGCCCACGCCTCAGACCGCGCGGCCACTGCGGACCTCATACTAATATTTTTGAAAAGTAAAAATTATCAAGCCCCTCATCACGCAACCGAAATACATAGACAGACGTTTGAGGAAAGCAGGGCTAGACTTAGTCCAGTCTACATCTCACTGTACTTACTCTTGACTTGCAGGTTGTAAGTATACAGTCACTTAACACTATTTTGTACTTACTGCATTTTGTCCTTACCCTTCAGTGCAGTAGGCATATCAGGAACTTGGCTCTCATCCAGGTCGTTCTCATACGTCTCAATGGTATACCACTCTGTAGGAGGACCCGTCCCATTAACATTGAGGGCCCACAAGCGGACCTGGTACACAGACCGTCGCTCCAGTCCTACCAATGTGTACAGGCGCCTGTCACCAGCTGTTGTCACAGTGTCACCTCGACGTTCTCCACGTCTGTCACGTTTCCTGTACCTCAGCTTGTACCCTGTGATGATTCCATTGCGACCTTCCTTCGGGGGGGCCTCCCACCTTACTGTCACACTCTATATATATATAAAGAAATATTGTGCATATCTTGCTCACAAGCAACAGCTGCATTACAGAATGAAAACTACGTCTACTACATTTACATCCTGAATAGAACACAAGTCCAAGATATCAAAAATTGTTTTAATATTTCATATTCTATGTTAGTTACAGTCATTTACCGTTGAGCTGCTGGCTTCTAGCGTGACATTTTGCGGTGGATCAGAGGGTACATCTGACAAAGTTCTGCACACCACCTCCTCTGTGCTGGAACCGGGTCCATTCTGATTGAATGCCACAACCCAAACGCTGTACTCTGTGAACTTGTTGAGACCCATCAACTCAAACTGCAAGTCTGATGTCACCACATGGTGCTCTTCTGCTGAGTCTCCCTGAACAAACACAGAATGCTATTTGCTTCACTGCCATTTCAGAAGGCTCATACAGACTCATAAAATTCCAGCATGATCTATCTGTACATCCAGACATGAAAGGGTAATTTTGAAATTCTAACTCCTCTAAAAGAGCGGCAGATCAAACTTATAAATTAAAATTTATGGAACTCAGTACCACATCTTTGTATAAAACTGTCAGTATAAAAATTCTAATATCTGTCAGACACAATCGGTTGGTCTTCTATGAGAACGTTAATATAAATTCAGTCATTTGTCTCTTAAGTTCATGTCACTGAAGTAATGACTTTTTTTAAACATACAAGAAAAGTAACTTCACACATGTTTACAATTGCTCATCACACAACATTTTATTTAAAAAATATCACCCTCCTGCCAAATATCATCTCTTCCACGTACAGAGTATATGCACTTTCTGCTTCTGGGTTAATATTTTACAGTTCTATCACAGTTAATTATTTGAAAACGTCTTTTACTACAAACTTAGCATTGGGTCCCATCAAAAGAGGGGAAATCCTTGACCACTCATGTGACTAACAGATTCTGAGGGAAAAATCTGCTTATACAGCTGGCTAGTCATTTCCTCAGTCCAGGTTACAAAGGCAGTGCACTCTCAGTTCTAAATTCCCTGCTCTTATGACGCCTATCACACAAACTCACCTCCATATAGAACATGTTGTAATGCTGGATGTGTCCATTGCTCTGCTCTGGTGGGCCCCACTGGACAAGCAGGCTCGTTGGGGACGCGGGTATCACCCTCAATTTAACAGGAGGGCCTGGCACATGAACCTCAGGCTTAGTGGTAACTTCCAAAAGATCTGAACCCAATCCTCGACCACGGGCACTGTATGCTAGCACTCGGAAGAAGTAAGTACGGTCAGGAGTCAGTCCTGCAATGTTGACTTCCTCCAACCTTGAGCCTGTTGTGTTCACAACACGTTCTCTAAGTGACAAAAGAAATTCAAAACACATTAACACGAAAAGGATTCAAAATGCTCATTAATAAAGGTAAAGTAAATCTGCCTCACTATAGGCCATGTATGAGCTTGGGGGAGAGAAGATGTTTTGCTTCTACTCATTCCTAACATTGGCACCAGATGGGGGTAAGTGGTCAGCGTCACACAACGGCCGACCTTTACTCCTGGGAAAGGACACTGGTACCCACTGGATAGGAGGCTGGGTGGACCCCAGAGCCAGTCTGCATGCAGATGCTAGTGGAAAAATCCTGTATCACTGTCGCGGATCAAACCTCAGTCGTCCAGTCCATAGCTAGTCACCATTTTGACTGAGCTACCCCAGTTCATCAATGCTCATTAATATATTTAAAATAAATAACTAAACCAAATGTATGTATAAATATTTTTTGATCACCATATGTCAGAAAAGTATTAGTTTAAAAATTACAGTATATCTGTATGTTACCGTCATCCGCAAGTATCTGAATTTTGTCGCATTTTAAAAAACACGGTTCCCATCTTTATATCATAATTCATCCAACATTCTGATGATGAAACATAAATATATACTTAGTTTACTCTGCAGTTTTTAGAAGCTGAACACCCTACCTTTCAGATCCTTCTTGGCGGTAGAACACGGAGTACGTAATGATTGGAGCATTCACTTTCTCAGGAGGGTTCCAGCTCAGCGTCACAAACCTCGTTGACACAATAACAGCCTTCAGTTCACGTGGTGCAGAGGGCAGATCTGTGCCTCCTGATGGTTGTGATTCCTTCCCACTGTTGCCTTCCGCTCGTACATCTGTAGGAGGCGGGGCCGTATATGCTGTTAGTACAGCTCCGAGCCCAGGAGAACTGGGGGAGGAGGCCACTGGCAGGCCTGAGGCCAATCAGGACAACACAATGCGGGAGAAATAAAGTAGAGGAGAGAAAAAAACAAAACCAAAAGTAAATAAAAATAAAAACTCACAGGAAATAAATGAGAAATAAAAAATACTAATAATAATGTGACAACACAAACAGGTTGATTACAAACCTGTGAGTTGCAGGTGAAAATCAATGAAACTCACTTATTATCAACAAACAATACATTAAGAGGAAAATAATTCACAGTTTCAGCACTGTGTCAACAAGAATAATGGTTTACAAAATAGTGTAAGCAACACAACAGAAAGACAAGTGTGTGAACAATTCCTTATGATCTTACTGTTCATTTGCTACAGTATAAATCTGGCTGATGACTAAATGAACTTTGGTGATATCACCAGTTCTTATAAATAATTAGTGATCCAAGTCAGCACTGATCTACAGTAAATAATATGGATCATCCTTTACACAAAAAAGCTAATGTATGAATTAAAGAAATAGTCATACTCTGTTGACATGCGGATGAAATTTACAGAACACTAAAAGAAAACCTTAGCTTATTAAACATCAACATGTGCAGAATGTGACACTTGTATGGGACAGAGTGGCAGACGAAATACAAGAAGAAACCTGTCCATTACGGGTTGAATGAGTCTTAGACAGAAGTGGTTTGAAGATGTGTCAACTAGTCTTAAAAGTAAATGTGAGATCAAACCATTCATAAAAAATAAACTAAATTCAAACAGCATATTCAACTTGTTACAAATTGCACATCACAACTGAACCACATTCCACGACCGAGCTGATAATATGCATAATGTCACAGAAAGATGCAGAAATATTTCAATGAGATCACATTACAGAACAGATGGGAAAACCACAGGTTAAAAAATTCAACCTAGCCCAAGTTAATGTTAAGATATTATTAATTCAGTTTTCTTAAATTAATTTTTCATATGTAAAAGTAAAGTAAAGTTTGTCCCGCTATGTGCCGTACAGGCGCTTGGGGTGAGAGGATAACTTAAGCCTGAAGTTTCTCTGCTAAATGGATGTGTTGTATTGAGCTGATAACTTGGTAAGTTGGGACTGGTGGAGGAGAAAAGTGTTTTCTACAGCAGAAGTTCTTAATATTTAGTTCACATTAGTTTATAAATAATAGTCCAATTTTTCATATGTGCTTTAGTGAAAGTATTGTAAATGCAAGAAAAACAGAAGAAATAAAATCTTGATTAAGACAGAAATATAAGTGCAGGGGTCCCTAGTAACTATATTTACAGTGCATACAGCTAGCGAGAAAATCAAGCGAGGTCCATTCTGGATTCTGCTTATCTTAATACCTTGACAACATCAAACAGAATTAGGGACATTGTACCTAAATTAATGTCTGTTGGTATCAGAGTAAATAACAGGTAATTACCTTAACAAATAAATGTTCTAGTATGTGGTCACTTAACATACAGACCCATCAGGCATCTAGAAAAGTATAATAGCCTGCTAACATTACTAGAGAAACTACTGCAGCGTTTGAGATGCTGGGACCATTACATGCAAGGAAGAATCTTAGTAAGATTTGAGACCTGGCTGGACAATGGTGAGCATAGCCGCAGCCTGGATGTTGCCTGCAGCATTTGAACCTATGCACTGGAATACTCCAGCATCCATTTCCATGAGGCCAAGGATGCGGAGATTGTAGCCATTCACCACCTGAAGGTAGTCATTTTGCGAAATAATATCCCCGTTCTTCACCCAGTGCACGTGTGGTTCTGGTTTTCCATACACGGCACACTCAAATTCCACGTCCTCTTTCTCCAACGCAAAGTGATTGGACGGACGCTTCAGAAACCTTGGAGGAACTGCAAAATAAAAGCACACAGTAAAGCATAAATATCCATAACATTATAGTTGCACAACTGAAGCACCAATTATATTATGTAACAGCCCAAAGAATCAAAAGCCTGCGGATCAAATGGATGTATACCGTGCACTTCAAGTGTGGCAGTTGCATCCACTGAATCGTCCCTGTTCTCGGCCCGACACTGGTATGTGCCTTGGTCTTGTTCCACAACGTCACTGATCTGCAAACTACCCGTCCCCACTTTGCTAAACCGACTGCCCAGCTCCCTGCAACAGGAAAATCTCAATGAAACTGCAGTATAATCTCACAGGTGGGGGGGAGAGGATATATATATATATATATATAAAACGACAAACAGTTTGAAACATCTTTCATATAAGTCACATTCACTAATAAGATGGATATATTACAATGTTCAAGTCTTCATTAATATACTAACTAGAAAAATCACAGTTCACTTTAAAATTAATGCTTGCATCTCATCACTTACGCCATGTCAATAGCGATGCCATCCTTCAACCATGTCAGCCACGGTCGAGGCTGGCCATTGGCTGCACAGTCCAATGTCACAGTGCTGCCCTCTGTTACCACAGATGACCGAGGTGTGGCCACAAACACGGGTGGCACTATGCTTGCTCCAGCTTCTACCAACAAACATGATGTTCATTGGAAGGATAGCCATCTGACATAACATATTCTAATTCATTCTACGGTGCAGCAATGCTAAGAT